TTCAGTATAAAAAAATAAACATCATCCTATTCTTTTGGCACCATGAAGGAGGGGGCCTGAATTCAGCAGATGCCATCTGCAGTGGCATTTACCAACCTGTCTCCCAGACTTGGAGGCGGATGCATCAGAGCACAAGTGCTGTCTTTAGCATCTTGAAATTGTTTTGCTAGGAGTGGCCTCTTCAGCCTCTCGCCTCACGGAGGTTTACAGAGATATCTGAAAGTATATATTGTTGGGGGCTGGCAGGTGGCCTGGTGGTTAAGGTGCTGAACTCCTAAATGGCTGACAGTGGTTCGAATCCTGGACCTGGTGGCTTGCTTTCTCACCTCAACTCCCCACTGATCAAATTGAAAAAAAAAAAAAAAAAAGGAATCATGAATTAAATTAAATCATTTTTTAAGAAAATGTATTGTCTGCAAAAGAATGTAAGTTATTTAAACAATGTAATGATCACAAATTAACACAGCTGTCGTAAACTCCTACCACTTCTTTTAGTTCTGTCCACCAAGAGATAAATTAAACAAGGTGGGCCTGTGTTTCAGTTTACTTGCTGAGATTGTACTCCAAATCATCTGTTGAGCTATAATAGTATAGTAGGTGAATGGGATTTTAAATTTTAGCCTTTTCAAAAATCCTTCTTTCCTCTTCGTCTTGCCCAAACCATGATTCTCAAACACCCTTGTGTATGGAATCACTGGAGAAGCTTGTTACAGCACAAGTGGCTGGAGGGTTTGTCACTCAGTAGGACCGGGGTGAGGCAGCTCCCAGGTGAGGCTGATACTGTTGCTGGTCCAGGGACCACACTTTGAGAACTACTGGCTTTTAAATCTCTTTTTTCTTTCACCAGAGTTTGACCTGCATAAAGTTTACTGTTGGCTATTATATTGCCTCTCCATCCTGAGATATTAATGGTAAGGTGCTAATAGTTTGAAATTGCTAAAATTGCAAATTAATAAGTATGTAAATAAAAGGGGATGCTTGATGCATTTTTTTGGGGGGGGAGAGGTGTTCGCTATAGGGCGCGTGCGCTCACCACAAAGACAGAGAGAGACAGAGAGACAGAAAGTGAGAAATCACCCCTAGGGGGGATGGCCATGCCACAATCCCTTCTCCTCCATTCTCCTCTCAGGATCTCGGGCACGCATTTACACATGCTCGGCGTGAGTTTAAGCCACTGGGTCTGGGACTCAAACCGCCATTGGCTACGTGGGAGTTCAGCGACATAGCCATTACGCTAACTGCTGTTCCCGACTTGATGCATATTTTGATTTGGTACTCAGCATCAATTAAGATCCCACAGAGCAACTTTGCTAATGATTTTGTTAACTGTGAAAATGAGTTATTTAGAACTTGCTTATCACATTAATAGTTTTTATTTATTTATTTATTTATTTATTTATTTATTTATTTATTTATTTATTTTACAGTTATGTACCAACTTTTTTTCCCTTAGAGAGATTTTGGCTATAGGGTGTATGCACTCGCTAGAGAGACACAGAGAGACAGAAAGTGAGAAATCACTTCCCGGGAGGGATGGCCACACTACAATCCATTTTCCTCCATTCTCTTCTCAGGGTTTTCGGCATGCATACACATGTCCCCGGCATGAGTTTTAAGTCGCCAGGTCTAGGACTTGAGCTGTGGTCGAGTACATGGGAGTCCAGCAATGTAACCATTATGCCATCTGCTGGTCCCTTCAGTAGCAATTTTTATACGTCATCTTATCAATCACTACACAGATGCAAAAACTAAGCATTTGTGGACTTTTAAAAAAGCTTTTATTTATCTACTTATTGAGAGAGACGGAGGGACAGACAGAAACAGACACAACACCCAACAGGATCTCAATGCCTCATCCACCTTGAGCCTCTGCCTGGTTGGATCATGAGCACATGGATTCTTGGCATACTCAGAGAGGTCTCTGGACCTGAACCAAGAAGCTTACCACGTAGGTCCAGCCTAAGAGATCATGACATCTTACCGTTGCACTGTTGTCCAGCCCTGGCCCACGTCAGGGCGAGGCAGTGGCACACCTGTAAATTGCAGCATTCTGCAAGGCTAACCCATATGGGAGGTTCCATATTGGCATCTGGGGACCATCTTGAGTACACCAGGCATGCAGATGCCCCTGATTTGGGTCTGACTGGAGCTTGGGATGGATTACAGCATCAAGACACTCACTACAGAGGGTACTGTCTCTGTAACTCTTGCTTATGGGAAAATAAGTGAATGAAAACTTAAAAAAACAAAAAGGGTAGATTATCGATGTGTGTTTAAATGCCAATCCTAATAGCCTCAAGTTTGAGTACACCAGGCATGCAGATGCCCCTGATTTGGGTCTGACTGGAGCTTGGGATGGATTACAGCATCAAGACACTCACTACAGAGGGTACTGTCTCTGTAACTCTTGCTTATGGGAAAATAAGTGAATGAAAACTTAAAAAAACAAAAAGGGTAGATTATCGATGTGTGTTTAAAAGCCAATCCTAATAGCCTCAAGTTTTTTATTTTTTTAATTAATTTTTTCCATGATAGAAACAGATAAAGAGAAACAGAAAGAGAGAGAGACTCAACAGAGTCTCCCCACTGCAGTCCCCCTCCAGCCTCTGCCAGCCTGGATCAGAGGCACATGCCTGCAACATGGGCCCAGCATGCCCCATGCACATCTCCTCCCCATATTGGGAAGTTATGGAATGCAAACCAAGGACCTTACCATGTAGGTGCAGTTGTGTTAAAGCTGCTCCATTGTCTGATCTCAAATATTAAAAATAAAATTGAAACCCTTACTTCTTATATACTGTGTCTAGCATCCTTGCTAGGGAGGACCTAGTAACTTAAGTGTTTTGTTTTAGTTTTATTTGTGCTTTGCCCAATGGACAGCTATAGAACCAGCATCTTTGGTTTCTAGTTGCTTTAACAGTAATGGAAATGGATTAAATCTATACTTTCTCTGCTGCAACGTATAGTGACACACTCAACGGGAATTTTGCAAAGTGGTCGACTGGTTCTGTTTGCACTCTGTGGTGATAGGTCAGAACGAAGTCGCAGACAACAGACTGAGCCCTAGAACTCTCCTTTACCTTAGACTCTTTTCCTTTTCCAAAATAAACTTAGAAGACCTTTACCCAAGTAAATTTTTCTGATTCTTTACCCTATTCTTTCTATCTATGATTATTGTAAAGCATGAGATATGGCAATTGTCAAAAAGATCTGGATAATTAAATATAGATCTGGATAATTAAATATAATTAAATATAGTTACAGTAAGTATTTCTCTTAAGAGTGGGAAATTGAATTCGATTAACTACAAATGTAGCCCAAACAAACAAACGAACAAACAAAAAACTTCAGAGACTTGAAAAGCAACAGCGGTAGCCTCTCTGAAGCCCAAGGATCCCTTTATCCAATTTCTTGCACATTAGAGGTTTGTACTTACATAATTGGAATTAAGCAAATGTGTTTTAGAAAAATTTGTTGGTATAGTATATTAAAAAGATAGGGTAGGTGATATTTATTTAATGTTTGCTAACTATCTCACTTATGATAGTCCTCACAGTTACTCCTTGAAATAGGTATTAATGTTTTTTGTCTTGGTTTGAGTTTCACCAAAAAGAAACTGAGATGTGGGACCAGCAGTTAGCATAATGGCTATGTCGCTGGACTCCCACATAGTCGACCGCGGTTCGAGTCCCGGATCCGGTGACTTAAACTCGCCGGGCAACATGTGCGTGCGTGCCCAAGATCCTGAGAGGACAATGGAGGAGAAGGGATTGCAGCATGGCCATCCCCCCTGGGGGGTGATTTCTCGCTTTCTGTCTCTCTGTCTCTCTGTCTGTCTGGTGAGTGCATGCACCCTATAGTGAAAACCTCTCCAAAAAAAAAAAGAAAAGAAAAGAAACTGAGACAAGCATTTAAATATTGGGGGGGGGAGTTATTTGGGAGAAGAGGGAAGCACTATTTGAGGGTAAGATAGTGAGATCGGAGGGAGGCAGTCAAAACAGCTTGTATTGTCAACCTGCGTACACTGTGGACAACTGAAGCCTAAAACCTGCAATACAGAACAGGAACCTAAAAGCAATCCCACCAGAGTGAGGGATTTGGGGTATTTATGCATCACCTGCCTTAAGTCCTTGGTTAAAGACTGTTCCACAGGGCATTGATTCTATAAAAATTAGTATGCTATGTAGGTGGAAAAGCAAGCTCAAGAGAAAGTTTTAAGCAGATGTGAACAGCTGGGGGTGGGGGGCACCTTTAAGTAGAGGTTCCTAGATTGAAACCCAGGTCTGACTATAGTCCAAACCACTTTCTTAGGCACGTCTTTCTATTTCTATTCTGTGATTGGGTGACATTTTAGATTGAGACCAGAAAATGTCCTCGACTGGCACCACCTACATCCTGGCAGCAGGGAAAGTAAGACTCTTTAAAAGAGTTAGCCGTAAATTTGGGCTTAACATTCTGTGTTAAAGCCAAACGTTTATAATCAGCTGAATTTCATATTGTGTAGAATTGCTGTATCTGGGGGATGCCTCACAAGCTCTTTCTCACATGCAATGTGCATGTTCCAAATGTGGACAAAGAATGAATGGGCAGCCCATTTGGGACTCAAAGCAGAGAGCACGTAGCTTGTAGAAGGTGTAGCCTTAGGCAGAACTGAGCCAAGAATGATGGATACAGTGAGATAGATGAGACTAAAAGAGCAAGTAGATTGAAAACTCTTCTCCCCCATTCCAGCAAATAAAGCATTTTCATCAAACACTGTAAATGCCTAATTTTTGCTTCTTTCCCCTGCCCTTTTAACATGACAGACACCTAACCCTCTGCTGCCACGTCACCAACCTACAACTTCTTGTGGCTCATGTGTATTTTGGTAGACAGCCTCCAAATTAAATTTCAAAGTCTAAGCATATAATGTTTGCTCACTTGATGTAAATAACAGAGAAATAAATCTGGACTTTGGTAAAATGCTATTAATAATTAACAAATAACGGAATTGTCTAAGTGTAGAAGGAGATACATAAAAAACTCCCCAATAATTCCAGTTGGAATAGGTAGTGAAAATGTCCACCCGGCTAGTTTGTATCAATGATTATGAACAACATGCTAAATTGGTACTTCAAAAGTCTGTATTTGATTACTATAGATCCGGAGCAAATGATCAGGAAACCTTGGCTGATAATATTGCAGCATTTTCCAGGTAAGGAAATTAATTTTTTTTAATTGTGTTTTAAAATTACAAAAGATCTTACCAAAATAAAATCTCTTAGTCTGATGTTGATGGTATGAAATTATTTGTCTATATTCATGTTTAACATCAAGAGAAAGATTCTTGGGGTTCTGAGAAGTCTTGGGCTTTTTTAAAAAAAATATATATATATATATTTAATTTTATTTATCATTGTTATTATAATTTGCTATGGGGAACATGTGCTTACCAGAGGCAGAAGGGGAGACAGAGCGCGGGAAAGAGAAAAAGCAAGATGATT